AATTGATATTGATAGTTAGGTAATTAGTAAATTTAAATAATACCTCTCTCATACGTTTCATACTTGCCATATGCCCAAGTAACCCCTCTGCCCACCCCGACTACCACCTATGCACCTCTTTACTCTTGTGGGTATAGATTAGGTGGAGGAAAATTTAGAATGGCTTTTAAAATGATATGTCTAAGTAAATACTGTAACAGAATATCGACCTATAAAATTATTATAATAGTTACTAATTTAAGTGAATTTGTCACATATTATTATCAAACGATAACGTTATATTCTGAGATAGGTATGTACGAATTTGGTTTCCCCTACGATTGCCGATTGGTTAGTGACTTCGCGCGAATCATGTTCGTCATTTTGGAAGAACTATATAAATCGAGAAAATTATACACTGGGAAATAATGTTTAGGATTGATATTCGCATGGAACGATAAAACTCATCGTTTCCGGTTTAACATGCGGCACGCTAAATCCAGTGTGAACTTATGTCAGACTTTAAATCGAAAATTAACCCTAATTTGTTATGATAAACTGCAAACCTCGTCAGGTAGGTAAATGGGGAAAAAATGCGATATGAAAATGTTTTCTTTCTAACAAAATTATTTTAGAAACCAATGATTATTATTATTACAATCTTATTATTGTTATAATAATTATTTTTCTAAATATTATGGTCCTGTGTTCTTACTTGTCCTCGTAGTTTTCACGAATTTTACCCCCTGGTGGGCGCTCAACTGTGTAAAAGAGAATTTGTTCATTGAGAACCGAGGCAAACAATTGGTTGTTTATACGATTTCCTAGAATTTGAAAGGTTTCACTTTAGAACAATTAATTATCTATATATACCTAGTATCTATATATATATATATATACCTATGTGTGTGTTTTATCGATCATCGATTATTCCATGAATTCAAAGACGACGTTGGCGGTAAACAACTAAAAATATTACCGTGCACTCGTTACTCGTGCGGCAGTGAGGTGTAAAAATTGATCGCGTTTCTACAGCTTTCGCCGGAATGAAATTGCGGCACTAGTTAATTTTTTTTGTCCTTCAAGTTTTATTTTATTATTCTTCGTGTGCGGTCAGTGCCGGTGCTAGGTTACAGGGCTCTGGACAATGCTTTAGCATAACTAACATAGAAGTAAATAGGGAGCTTAGCCCTTCTTGAAAATCTCAAGGCCCATCTGCTTCAGTATTTGAATTAATTAATATTAGGTATAAACTCTATTGTGCTCAAGCCCAAGGTCGTGTTAAAGGGAAGGATAATGAGGGCATTTTGCCCGGGTTGCTAAACTTTTTTAAAACTATGGAGCGCCTATTTTAAACCTCATTGTAAATCTTGAAATACCAATATTATTTTTATTTGTTTTGTTTTCATACACTTTCAACGCTTTGCTTATAGTAATAATAAATATTGTTGGTAATTAAAAGAATGCAAGTACAACTTAGTCACGTATAATATGTGTACCTAGAAAAAAATTCTGTAGTAAAGAATAATTATATTAAGTAAAGGTAAAATATTGAAATTTTAATATAAATTTAATACAGTTTTACAAAAAAAAAAAAAAAAAATTTTGAAAAGATTAACCCTCAAAAACATCTCCAGGTAACACTTTTGGAGAAAACGTTTCAAAATTGATGCCCCCGGAAGCTAAATTGCTTTACACCGCTTTGTTCAAGCACTATATATATATATATTTTTAAAATCTCTATTTACATCCATGATAACTAATAATTGTACACCTGTCTAATAATTTACCGTGGGGCTTATCAAAACCAAAGCAAGCGTGAGGCCCTCAGTTCTGGACTTAAGTCCTATTTGTCTTTCCCTAGTGCCGGCACTGTGTATTGTGAAAGCATTGATACAAATTATGAATACAATACTCACATAATCGTTGTAATCGGTCGTCGAAATTTAGTAAGAGCTGCCCACGATGGTGTCCAAAACGGTGCGATTTCGGTGACCGAACGGTGAATACTTATACCTATTACACATTTATTATTTTCTAATGACATTTTATTTTGATGGGATTAAAGATTTTAAATTAAAAAATAAAAAATGTTTTCAAAATATACATAAATTGCACGTGTTAAGTATAATTAGATATTTTATTAATTATAATTATTATTCAATGTCGAATAATATATATATATATATATATTATATATATTATTTGTATTAATAACATGGGAGGGGGACTTAAGCTTCTCAGATCCCTCTAGGGGTTTTCCACTGGTGAATATATTTTTTAGTGGTTTTTCGGTTGCACTTGGTAAAAATTTGTTGAGATTTTTTCGGTTGTTTTTGTTTCCGTAAAACTGAATCGTCTAGATCGCTTATGCGGCAGACTTAGTTCGCCAAGTGGTAAATAGTTTACACCAGTGTTTCTCAGCCATAGGGTCGTGACCCAATTTTGGGTCACGGATAATTTTTAATGGGTCACCACATAATAAAATCGTTAATTTCATTTTAGACTTTCTGTATTAAATAGTTTTAAAAATAATTTAATAATTAAGGAAACATTTTTCGTAAATTATTTTTTTTTGACAAACAAGTATAAATTTATAATTTTGGACTGTTATATAATCTTTCAATACTATAAATAAACTCTATCAGATCACATTGAAACAATTAAATTTGGTAAGTTGTTGACCAGAATTTGTTTTGGTATCAATTTTATAATTGTGAATTTACAAGGTACACATTACTCGTTTAGTCGTGTACATTAGTTTTAAAATAAATGAAAGATAATATAGTTCCTTTTAGTTAAGGTAATTGAACAATTAAGTAGATTGGGTAGAGTGGATAGTTCTCCTTTGAGAATTATTTCGATTCCGAGTTCAGTTATTAGTGATGCTTTGTCAACAGTATATAATATATACATATTATGTTATATTACGGTAAAATAATAACATAAAATGCGTTATATATTATCTTTAATAATATTTACTTAACATTGAATTTATTTTTCCATTATTTTTTTTCGGTTTTTCCCATGTTATTCTCAATTATTGGGAAAACTTTTGAGAAAATTAAATAAAAAGACTTCCATAAAGTACTTCTCCAGTCGGATGTCCTTTCAGAAAAAGTACTATCATTGTGAATCTGAGCAAAATTGCTGGTAGAAAAGTTGTTCACAGAAAAAATAAAATCGTAATATATTATGTACATTTTCCCGGGTTTTTTCGGTTTTTCACATTTAATAAGAAAATTCCTGAGAAAATCGATAATGACGTTCTTAATGTATCACCCCAAGAAAATTTTCTTTCAGAATAAGGTCTACATTGTGTATATTGGAGTAAGCTTTCTGACAGAAAAAGTGTTCACATAAAAAAATAAAATAAAATAAACATCATTGTTAAACCAATACATTCCTCGCTCTGTTCAGAGTCTGAAATATCAGTATTAAAATTATTTGCATGTTGCATGGTTTTAATTAAAGAAGAGTTTTAAACATAGGTATGTTATGTAATGCACGTAGGAATGGCTCATAAAAAGTACTGGGCTGTCTTGTCGTATGACCAGGAACTGAAAATGTTAATTTTGATAATAGATTTGGACAGTAAATATATCAGTTCAATAATTTGTACAGATAACAGACATCCTGTTTTATCTATCTAACACATATGACGGGTATTACGCCCTCTCGATAGTATATTGTACTACTGTTCTTAAAATCTACAGCGACGGAGACTATATAGCATACAGAGTAATTCGTTTAACGTATATACGTTATTTCGTAAAGTATTGACTTTTTTCATATCGTTTTTTTTTTTTTTTTTTTTTTTTATGAAAATTAAAGAAACAATCCGTTCCTAAATGTTACATTAACATTATTCTTTTTCACCCTTATTTTCGGGGAAAGAAATGACTATATAGTTTTGACATTCAAATGGTAACTTATATTAAAAATACGATGAATAGACGAAATATTAGTTTAAATAAATTGATTATTTGATACACGAAACCAGACAAAGCCGGATAGTTAACTGGCACACACCATAAAGTTTTATTTTCGTTTTTTATTCTTAAGAAAATATTTCTTAACTGGACGTTATTCCCACATCAACTGTCTTAGTCCGACTACTGGGTAATATGCGAAAACAATGCTTACGTATAATACTGTAAAACTAGCTTAATTTTGATTATAGAGTAAAAGTACTTGTTATACAATTTATAGAGAACAATATTTTGGAGGGAATGTCATAGGGTTTTTGTATTATTCAAATATACAGCTATATATTAAAAATGCAAAAACTTTTTTATTTTTATTTTTTAAATAACTGTAATTTTTTAATTGTTCATAATTCAAAAAACACCTATGACATTTCCTCGAAAATATTGTTCTATGTACATTTCATTGGTACATTTCCTCTAAAATCAAAATCAAGCTAGTTTTACTTATTTCGCGTAAGCACTGTTTTTGCGTGTTACCCGGTAGTTGGACTGAAACAGTAAGATGTAGGTATAACGTCCTCTTAAGTTTTATATTTTTAGCAACAGCAAAGTCCGTGTCAGTGGTCAGACGCGTGTTCGAATTACGACGGTATTGTTGTGTTGCACGGGTTCCGGCGTATAAAACAAAACAACAGAATCCACCGCGCTCGACATAAACGAGACGAGCCGCCGCCGCCGTACGGTCTGTGCGATGCGTGTAGAATATACGCGCGTATTTCGTGTACAATATTATTATTGTAGAAACAAGGAGCGCGGACGTGTATATCGTTAGATGTTTGGATTTAGCGTGACGAGGGTGCCGGGGGGAGGGAGGGATGAGGGGAAACAATCGTTCATTATCAACTTATTATTATTGGTATTATTTCGCTAACAGTATAACGACCGAAAAAAAAAAAAAAAACAACAAGACGAAATATCGCGCGTCCGCCTTACGAACAATAACGATATTATTGTGATAGAGTATATAGGTATACCTATATAACGCCTAACCTATGGCCATATTATCACGACGCAGTCTCTCCGCGGTACATGCCCGGGCATAGCGTTTTACAGCCGTACACGATAATAATATAATGTGATGATAGTATCCTAGTCGACCAGCAGCCGTCGCAGACTCCACAAAGCACACGTTTTTGGGCCGCGATATCGTATTACTGATTTTGATATATTTTTTTTATATTTTTCACTTTGTAAAATCCGGTGAACGTCGTGCGACGGTGTTAAAAAAAAACAGAAAAAAAAAAAAAATTAAAATCGTTAAAAACCGTGCGCTCGTCCGTCGCCCGCCCGTTAATACCGTATAGTGTTTTTATAAATAAAAAATAACACAAAAAAGCGTGCACGTATTAATAATATTACCTCGCGTGTTTACGTTTCGTGCAATGTCACCGCGACAATGATTTAAAAGAAAAATTAAAAAAAAAAAAACCAAATACTCAATCCGATAAATATTCACGATATCGCGCTTTGTCGAAAAATAAATATTATAACATAGTTTTCGCTCTTCCGTGACGACGAACAGCACCGCCGAAAACAGTAGGTATGTGACATTTCACGCACGTAGGTATACGCACAACGTATTTTACGTAGTTTTATTTTATTTTATTTTTTTATCAGGTGGTATAGGTACAACCAGGAGGGTGCTAGTGGTCTTAAGCAACCCTTCCCCTCGAAAATACTCAATACGCTAATCTACAGTACAGACTGAAATATTTTAGTTATTCCAGTTTAAAAGTTCTGATAGATTTTCGTACAAAAAAATTGTAAATGAAATGTATTGAACGAATTGTGCTTCAAAACCTACTAACATAAACATTAATTATCCATTAAATTGCTAAACCAAGTAAACTATTTTATTCCAGAGGTCAAAAAAAATTAAAATTGTATTTTATTAGCGTTGAAAGGTGTAACTAAGGCGTACAAAATATTATACATCTAATGCATCTACAGTATACCAATTTTATCATTTCATAAATAAAAAAATTCGATTGAATACGTATATTTAATACTTTATTAGACATTATAAAAACTTATATCTACTTAATGAAAGAGGAACGTCTTTTTTATGATCGATTCGTCCTATACTTCATTAACTTTGACGCGTTCTTTCCGATTGATTGATAATGTCTTTTTGAAATAACCAGAGACCAAACGGTTTCGTATTCCACAATTTTTCAGGAAAAACGTTTTAAAAGTATCGCGTTCGTTCGTCATAAAATTGATTTTTGAATTATAATTGGGTGAAAAAAAAGGTAATACAGTTTTACTTTATATAATTTTGTCCGTTTCTTCAGGACGAGAGCCATGTAGGTGGTAAAACGAAAAAGTTACTTATAATATAATTTTATACGGATAATCGGATTCGTCTCGTCGTCGCACACATATAATACGAACATAATAATATTTTCTCTATGAAAAATAATCATAATACGTATTTCCTCAAAAAGTCGATCCTCTGGTTGTTACACGAGACCATTCGACTATTATTTTACTCAATTTGTATTTATTATATCTTTCGAGATAATTATTATCTAATATTATATTATCCATCTCGGTCATCTAACAGCAGAATTAGGTATATTTTACAGGTACGATGTACTTAGAACATAAACAGGGGGCGGTGTTTCGGTGAAAATTGGAAGTTTCAACATGAAGATAACGCATATATTTCATGATTAAAAAATGTATATTTACATAATATTATAAAAAAAGCAAAATCTATCACGGCTATGACTTTGTTTGTTTGAAGATATTTTATAGGAAAAAAAAAAATCAATCGACGTACCGACCTCCAAAATTTTGTCTTGTTTTAATTTTATATATTATATTCGGTTTTTTAAACTTGTATTGAATCACCTGAACGCCACTGTTGTTTTATTTATGATCCGATTATACAATAGGTTAATATTATTGTAAAAGTATAGAATACGGAGGCAGAACAAGGGGGTCGTTTGCTCACCTCTTTGGGTTTTTTTTTTTTTTTAATCGATCACTAGATATAGAGGCAGTATTGAAAATTATTTAACTTCATATTTGTATGAATTGTCGCATTTGCGTAAGAATATTTTTAAAAAATACGTAGGGGCAGCTACTGTTGTAGGTGGGGAGCTAAGAAGGTAGGGTACAGACGAGAATTTAACGTATATCTGTAAGAAATGATAAACCATTGCTAACGAAAAAATGATTCTGAGCGGAGTACAGTTAATAGAGTTGCTTTGTTGACAATATGCCATATTATGGTAAAACAATTACATATTCATTGGACATTTTCTTTAATAATATTTGTTTAATATTGTACCTATATTTTTCCATTTTTCCATTTTTCCTCCGGTTTTTTAATTTATTGAAAATTAAGAATTCACTTGAAAAAATCAAAAAATTACCTTTTTAAAGTACCACCTCAGTCAGATTTCCTTTCAGAAAAAGTGCCACGTTCGTAAATCGGAGCAATATTTCTGGTAGAAAAGTTGTTCACATATAAAATTTAAAAAAAAAAACAACACTGTAAAATCATAAGCTTTTTCGCTCCATTCAGAATCTAAAATATGTTTGTTTTCTGTACAATTATTCAACAAAATATAATATGATTTGCTATAGGTATATATAGACTACTTATTCCGCTAGGAATTTTAGGTTTTGTAGGTAGAATGTACACAGTACACATAATTTACAACAATATATGTAAATTAAACATTTTTTTTTTTTATTTTAAATATCCTAAAGTATATTTTATTATTATTTTTAAGATAAATGCTACAATAGGTATTGTGTTTTTAACAAAAATAGTAGGTCGTATAACGTTTTATACCGACCATATACTTAAATACTTAATTTGCAGTGTTCTGCAATAGGTATATAGACTTTCAGACTTTTCCAGAACACTACTGGTCTTTTATTAAGTGTTATTTTATTTTTTTAATGGTATTTATTACCTAATCGTATATAACTTATTATACATCACGAACAAAATGAATGTCTATTCCGATTCTTTCAATAATTCGATTCTCAAAACGTTGAAAAATCGCAAACGATTTTTTTTTTTCTTTCAACTGGAATTCAATTTCTATTCCTACATATACCTACATATACGTAAACCTAGGTGCCTATCCATAATACTATATTTATTTCGATTGATAAAGTATATATTTTCCTCGAGCAATTTTTTTTCTCCAGACATATTATTATTGCGTTTATACACATTCGTATCCGCCACGCGTACTAGTACAATCATATCGGTATATGGACCTCATTATCAAACTACAGAGTGTCCCACAAAGATATAGCCGTTGCGAATCTCGGAAAATATTAGTTGCTTTTTTTTTTTTTTGACATTTTAAGGAACAAACAGCACCAACATAAGACATTACAGTTGTTATTTTTTGTCACCCCTATTTTTGGCGGTGAAATGATTACTTTCGGTTTTCAAATGACAGCCGATATTGAAAAATCTATAAATAGGTGCTGCCGTCGGAAATCAAAAATTGCAACATTAAAACTTATTTAAACTAATATTTCATTTATTTACGGAATTTTAAATGTATGAAAATCAAAAGTATGCACGAGTTGTTGTTTCACCCCCTTCGCCTAAAAATAAGAATAACGCAAAACCCGATGGGTAATGTAACATTCAAGAGACAATTGATTTTTAAATTGTTAAGAAAAAAATCCGAAAAAAGTTAATAATCTTATCTGAAGTGTATCTTCGTGGAACACTCTGTACAGTTAATAATATTATTATTTTACGTTCACCCGCGGCGGAATGTTATCAATCGGGCGCCAGCACCTATACGTCGGATAGTACTTAAGGCATTTTTTGGTTTCAAAACACGACGTATTGTAAGAAGTATTATAAATAACACATTTTTCGAAAGCACATTCTACCAGCTGACAATCCGATCGGGACAATAATATTAACAGTATTGTTTTTTCGCCATTATTATAAATCGTAGCAATATAATGATATTATTACGGTCGTACGATTATTATAATATTCATGTATATGTAGTAAAAAAAAAAAAAGTAGGTAACGTGCGCGTTTGACTTGTGTAATTAAAACTGTTCCTGTACCCACCGCGTATAATTATAATATAGATAGATGTATTTTCATGGGTTCTGTTTCGTTATGGTTTTTAGATTATTTTGAGCGTAGTGATCAATATAACTGCAGACAGCCAGGTACTTTTTAATATTTATTTTAAATACGAATATTTCGAGACAAAACCGATTAAATCGAGAATTTAATAACTCAATTTTTAATTAAATTAATTTAGATAGGTTATACAAGAATATATAATCTAATTTAATGAATAGTTAAATTATTTTCTACGGTAAAGAAAAATATACTTTGTATACCGTAATGAGGTAAATCATTGCAAACGACACAACGATTCTGGACTAAGTTTGATTATCCATATTTCGAAAAATTTAAATTGAATAATGTATTACAATATTCGTAACAACGGTTTTCAATAATTTCCATCAATATTTCAACCATAAACGCTTAATAAATGATTATGTTTTTTTCGTCAAATTTTTAAGCGATTTTTTTCATTAAGTTAAAATAATATTTTATCAGCAAAAAACCAAATAAGAATTCAAATAATTTCAAATAACTGTAAGTATCGAAACTAAACAAAAAAAAACCGCCAAAATGTTTTGAAAATTTGATATCACATCTAAAAACAGTTAATATAAGTATTCGGTAAAATACTAATTTTAGGCCTCTGCGATTATTTTCATGGATTAACAAAAGAACTTTTCCGGATTTCCCCCTACCATTTTTAAGAAAACTACAAGGAAAATTGACAAAACGGCTTTTCCAGTGTACCAATAAACATGATTATCGATCAAAAAGTTGTTCGCAAGATTATTGTAAAATCAATGTCGTTTCGAGAATTCAAAACTACCTATTTGCGATATTTTCGGTATTTTCTCTTTCCGTTTCTATTATGAACAGTAAGCTCTGTACACGCAGTGGCATTCCAAGACGTTTTAAACGTTTTAAATGTATTAAATAATAACAATCCCGATTCGCGAGTATGTATATAAATCGTAAAATAGGTACCCTCTTTCATTATATTATAACAAACTCGATGACAACAATATTCTAAAACCGGAACCTAAGAAAAAAAGCCAATTTTCATTCAATAAATCAAGATTTTTGTCCTGGCCTATAATATATTATCTACTATAAGGTTTACTATATAAAATGCTCGTATATAATTGTATTTTTCCGCCAATGGGGATATAACCTCCGACTCCCCGAGCGCGTCAATGTGTACGCATTTTTAGAAAAGAAAAAGAAAAAACCGTTATGCTTGTTAATTAAACGGATTTAAAATGTACATATTATAATATTGTATTATATTTATGTGCCTACGTGATTGTAACAATATAATACGCGTGAACGTTAATGACTCACGTGTATGTACCACAGAATAAGTAGTATAGTTAATAGGTGTTTTGAGACACATGTGAAAATATTATTAGGGACAAAGTTTGAATAATGATTATTTTAACCGTCGTAGGAGGACAAGTGATTTCATCGCGGTTT